CACCTGAAATCAGGAGTTTGAGACCAGCCTGGCCAATATGGAGAAACCCCATCTCTACCAAAAATATAAATACTAGCTGGGTGTTGTGGCATGTGCCTGTAGTCTCAGCTGCTCAGGAAGCTGAGACAGGAGAATTACTTGAACCCAGGAGGCAGAGGTTGCAGTAAGCCAAGATCACGCCACTGCACTTCAGCCTGGGAGACAGAGCCAGACTCCGTCTCAAAATAAGTAAATAAATACAATTAAATTTTTTTAAAAAGTGTAGTAAGATTGCAGTCATGCAGCAGAAACATGCTAGTCCTATCCAGGTAGTGAAGGCAGACTTCATACACAAATCTCACAAGACCTTTTATACCCACCCCTGAAAGAAAGCCCTGATTGCCTTCCAAAGAAACAGTACATGGGCAAATGCATGGGCTGTCCCAAACAGCACTGGAAAGATCAACAGAAAACAGGGAGTGACATGCTCAGCCCTTGAGGCCAAAATGCCCTTTTTCAGAGCAGCTGCCAGAAGACAGCAAGCAGGGTTGGGTTGGAGGTCACCTGTGGGTGAAGGGGAGAATGGTCAGATCTGGGCAGGGGTGTAGGAGCCTGGGCATCCTCACTGGAATAAAAGAGAGCTGCTCCATGATGCTCAGCTGTCAGGCAGAGCTTTGCAAATTCAAGTTCTCATGGTACAGAGAGGCCAGCCAAGGCGAGGACAAAGACAGGCATGCACAGGAATGGTTTCCTGGAGGACAGGACTCAGTTACATCTCTCAAATGGGACCAGATTGGTAGGAAGATCAGCTGCTTTGGGCAACCGAGGTACCTTCTGGGTGAGCTCCCAAACTAGATGGTGCCAGGGGCCCTGGACCAAGCAGCTGGACTGAACATCTCATGGTCCTGTATTCCAGGAAACAGCATCTAGCACTTGTCTGGCCAGTTCTCCAAAAGGACCATCCACATGCCATATTTCCATTTCCTCCCTGTTCACAGACTGGGCAGGGCCTGACCAGAAGCTCTCCCTTAAGGTTTTCAGTCACTGCCAAAATCAGAGCCTGGCAGTGAGGAGGTGATGTTAACATGTGACTCTGGGCCAGTCGATGCCTCAGGCTGTAAACTCAGTGCTTTTGGGAAGCTGAGCTGGGAGGATCACTTGACATCAGCAGTTCAAGACCAACCTGAGGAACGTAGATCTCTACAAAAAAATAAAAATAAAAATTACCCAGCTCTGGTGACATGCACCCAGAGTCCCAGCTACTCGGGAGGCTGAGGTGACTGGAGCTCAGGAGTTCAAAGCTGTAGCTCTGATGTTGCTGCTGCACTCCAACATGAAAGACAGAGTGAGGCCATGTCCTGAAAAAGGAACAAACACGCTAGGCATAAAAGAAACATACCTGAAAATGGCAGGGCGTGTGGCTCACTCCTGTAATCCCAGAAATTTGAGAGGCTGAGGTGAGTGGATCACCTGATGTCAGGAATTCAAGAGCAGCCTGGCCAACATGGTGAAACCCCATATCTACTAAAAGTACAAGAATTAGTCGGGCATGGTGGTGGGCACCTGTAATCCCAGCTACTCAGGACTCTGAGGCAGGAGAATTGCTGGAACCTGGGAGACAGAGGTTGTAGTGAGCTGAGATCCCGCCATTGCACTGCAGGCTGGGTGAAAGAGCAAGACTTCATCTAAAAAAGAAAAAAACAACTAACATACCTGAAAATAATGAAAGCTGTTTATGACAAAGCCATGCCTAACCTACTACATAATGAGGAAACGTTGAAAGCATTTCCTCTGCAAACAGGAACAACACAAGGATGCCCATTCTCACCACTGCTATTCAACATCACACAATCAGGCAAGAGGAAAAAATAAAAGGCATCCGCATTGGAAAAGAGGACATCAAATTATCCTTATCTGATGAAGACATGATCTTGGATTTAGAAACATGTACAGATTCTACCAGAAAACCCCTAGAGTTGATCAATAAATAAATACAGTTATTGCAGGATACAGAATCAATGTACCAAAATCAGCAGCATTTCTATACACCAATAGTGGTCTAGTTGGGAAGGAAATTAAGAAGGCAATCTCATTTACAGTAGCAACAAAATGAAAAAAGATATGCCACAGAATAAATTTTACAAGGAGTTTGAAGATTTCTACAAGAAAAACTACAAAACACTGATGAAAAACTTTAATAAGACAGAAAGAAATGAACGATCATCCCATGCTAATAGATGACAGAAACTCTTAGCATTAAAATGACCATACTGCCCAAAGCAGCCTAGAGATTCAATACAACCCCTGCCAAAACACCAGTGTCATCACTCACAGAATTGGAAAAATCATACAATTCATATGGAACCAAAAAAGAGCTCAAAGAGTCAAAGCCTTCCTCAACAACAACAACAACAACAACAAAAACTAGAGGCATCCCATTTCACTACAAATTAAAATGACAAAATTTTTGACAAGTGCATGGTAACTAAAACAGCATGGTGCTAGCAGGAAAATAGACACATTGATCAATGGGACACATGACAGAGCCCAGAAAGACAGCCACATATTCACAGCCAATTGATCTTTGACACAGCTGACAGAAACACACACTGGGGAAAGGACACCCTCTTCAGTGAAAGGTACTGGGAGAGCCAGATACAGAAGAATAAATTGGACCCTTTTTCTCTCACCGAATACAAACACCACCTCCAGATAGATCCACGACTTGAACGCAAGATATGAAACTAGAAAAATATTAGAAGAAAACCTAGAGAAAACTCTTCTGGACATTGTTTAGCGGAGTCGCCTAACTTTGGCAGGTCTACAGTCTGAGGAGGTAGCATGTGCATCATGGGGAGAGGAAGAAGATGGGTTAGAAAGGGTCCCGGCCAGCCTCCAGGTGGAAGTGGTGGGTAAGGAACCCCTGTGGCTGAGTGTGCTGTGGTTCCCTGGGCTGTCTGTGTTGGAGCAGAAGATGAGGCCTGGGCTGCAGCTGAAGCAGCTGGAAGGGAAAATGGATGAGGCCACTTCAAGCCGTGGGTTCCCTGCTGCTCTTCATGAAGGACCACAGGTTTGGGCTGGGTGGTGGCTGCAGTGGTCACGAGAAGTTTTAGTACTGAGGTGGGACCACTGATTCTCAGTCTGGCCAGGGCGGTGATGAGAGAGGCGGAAGATGGGTTAGAAAGGGTTCCAGCCAGACTCCAGGGGGAACTGGTGGGTAAGGAAACCCCTGCAGCTGAGTGTGCTGTGGTGCCCTGGGCTGTCTGTGTTGGAGCAGAAGATGAGGCCTGGGCTGCAGCTGAAGCAACTGGATGGGAAGATGGATGAGGCTGCTTCAAGCTGCGGGTTTCCTGCGGCTGTCCATGAAGGACCACAGGATTGGGCTGGGTGGTGGCTGCAGCGGTCACAGGAAGTTTCAGTACTGAGGTGGGACCACTGATCCTCAGTCTGGCCAGGGCAGTGATGAGAGAGGCAGATGATGGGTTAGAAAGGGTCCCAGCCGGGCCTGCAGCCCAGGTCTTCTTTCTTTAGGTGGGGTGGCTCAAGGCTGAAGCAGCTGAATCTGAAGACGGACAAGCCCATTTCAAGCCGCGGGTTCACTGCTGCTGTCCATGAAGGACCACAGGTTTGGGCTGGGTGGTGGCTGCAGCAGTAACAGGAAGTTTCAGTACTGAGATGGGACCACTGACCCTCTGTCTGTCCAGGGTGGTGGGAGAGGCAGAAGATGGGTCAGGAAGGCTCCCAGCCAGGTCTGCAGCCCAGGTCAACTTTCTTTTGGTGCGGGGGCTCGAGGTGGAAATGGTGGGTAAGGAAGCCCCTGCGGCTGAGTGCGCTGTGGTGCCCTGGGCTGGCTGTGTTGGAGCAGACGATGAGGCCTGGGCTGAGTCTTGAGAGTGTGCAGAGGTGGCAGGAAGGGTGTCTGAGGAGCAGAACAGGGGGCCTGCTGACCTGTCCTTCCTCCCAGACACAGGAGGTCTAGAGGGGAACCCTGAAGCTGATGCTTGGAGGGCCATGGGGTCCAGGCCATCTTGGGACTTGCCTCTCTCCTGCTCAGCATCCGTGCTGGGCACTTTAGGGACAGCAGGCAGAGAAGACATCCCTTTTGCCAGTGAGGACAAAGCATTGGAAAGCAGTAAGGCTCTGCACTTCCAGAGGGACTTTTCCCACCCTGCAGTGCACTATTAAGGCACATGATTTTGGCCTTTTTCTTCAGGTCCAGGTCTTCAGCGGTGACCCGGAACCCCAGCTTTAAGGGAGGTGGCAGCATCAGAGGCTCCCCTCGCCTACGTGGCAGCAGAGGGAACTTTCGTCTACGAGGCCTAGAGGCCTTAGATGTCAGGGAGCCACTCCTGGGGACCGATTTCTCCCCAGGTGCTGAATCTGCTGCCTTTTCACACTGAACCTGACCCTGAGAGACAGCCTGAGGGCTGACCTCACTCACTGTCTTTGAAGAAGTGAGGGGTAGCTGTCAGTGGGATGAGGCTGGCCCCTTCCTCCTCTTTAGCCCTCCCGTGGAAGAGCTGCAGATGGCATTGCCTTTGGGGCAGCAGCTCATCCTGGAGGGCTGGGATATCTTGTCAGATGGGATTTCTGACCTCTGGGTATGGAGGTCTCTCTGCAGGGGCCCAGGCCTGGGTACGAAGGGAGAAGCCTCCACTCTCTCGCAGGGGTCTAAATGCAGACCCTGCATCCCTGGTGCCCTCAGGGCCCCCTTTCTCATCATCGGGCTTCTCTTGGACTCTGGGGGACTCGTCCTGCTCAGGGATCCCTGCCTCACTCTTCATGAGGGCCCTCAACATGATGTCTGGATGGGAGTGTGGGGTAGAGCTGGATATTCTGGGCCACAAAAAGGTGATTACCTCCTCCAGGGCCTCTCTGAGAGTCCTTAGGGCATTGGCTTGCTGTGGTACCTGTGCCTCAAATTGAAGGCAGGATCGCCGATGGAACACAGGGCTTGTAGGATACAGAAATCCTTGGGGTTTTTTCGACACCAGGCTGATTCCAAGTGTCTGGGTACTTACTGGTAGGATGGCTTGCCACTCCGTCCAGGGGCAGGAGCAACGGAGAGATCCCACGAGCAAAGTGAAGTGAGGGATGTGGGCAGCAGGCTCAAGGCGACTGAGTCCTACTGGAGGGTCCTCGGCTCCGGGACGGGACCGGGACAGGGATAAACGGCAGAGAGTGCCCTGGTAACCGCTCCTGGGAGCAGTGGGATATTTTCTGTTGCTTGAACTCTCAAGAGCTGGCTCTGAGCGTCCTCTTGTCTGATACCAACTGACCAAAGGGGAAGGGAGCATTCTCCTGTTGCCAGGAAATGCAACGTTCAAACCTGAGTGAGTGGGGCACGTGAAAAGACAGGCACGAGTACCATATCTGCGCGGAAGGGCGACCTTAAGGGATTCTCGAGACAAGGTATGGGCGCCAGGCACCCGTTGACAATGCGGAGTAGGTGGCGGGGCGGGAACATCAAAATATGCGCGAGGCACCTGCGAGCAATGGCGGCGGGGGAGGGCGCAGGGTAGAAGAGGCGTCTGACAGGTACTGGAAGGAGAGGAGCGGGCACAAAGGACGCCAGACGTTAACGGTTTGGCCGGCAAGGTTCGCGCACAAGGCACCTGATGGCAATGGAAGAGGCGGCGCCCGCAAGGTGTACTTCAGGGAGAGGCGCGCGCGCGCTAAGGACCTGGGAACTTAACGGATTGGCGCGGCAAGGTACTGGCACAGGGCAGCTACTGGCAACTGCGTGATTGGGGCGGGGTAGGGAGCGGCGCGCGCACTAGGTACTGGAGGGAGAGGCGAGCACAAAGGGCTCGGAATCTTAACGGATTGGCGTGACAAGGCATGCGCACAAGGCCATGATTATCAGTCCACGATTATTAATATCTCCAAGCTTTTGTTCATGCTATCCTCTCCCTTCCTGGAAAACCCTCCCCACCTCAAGGGTTATCGAGACCATCCTGGCCAACACGGTGAAACCCTGTCTCTACTAAAAATACGAAAATCAGCTGGTAGTGGTGGCACGCGCCTGTAGTCTCGGCTACTAGGGAGGCTGAGGCAGAAGAATCGCTTGAACCTGGGACACGGAGGTTACAGTGAGCTGAGATCGTATCACTACACTCCAGCCTGGCAACAGAACGAGACTCTGTCAAAAGAAAAAAGAAAAAGAACCAAAAAGAACCAGCAGAGCCTTGTCCACACCCAGCGCCACAGCATCGGCAAGCTGGAGCGGCGGCTGGACGGAGCTGAGCGCGGAGAATCGCTGCTTGTGGGAGCATCAGCAACTGCTGCCAGCGTAGCATCCTCCAGGATTCCTTATCTGGTGGTCTTCCTGCTGCCTGCCTCCTAGGCCCCGCTGCCGCCGCTGCCGGGGCCAAGGAACCTCTTCAGCACTGCGGACAGCGCTCTTTCGCCCAGTCACAGCCGGCGCCTCAGCCGGCTTCGTTTCAGAACCACGGACAGCTCCTGGCGCAACCCCCCACCCCACCCCCCACCCCCCGGGCCCTGGCGGCAGGGTTCACCCACCCCATGCACTCCATCAGCACCTGGGCACACTTGGGGCCAAGGCCAACAATGAGGAGAAAGGTCCCGGGATTACCATGCTGCCCCAGGAGCCCCTCTTCAGCAAGAACCTCCCTCGCCGTCCCCAGAGACGTCCCGAGCAGCAGACCTGAGTGAGCGGGGAGGAGCAGATGGGCACTGCCATGGTGGGAGCAAGGGAAGCAAGCGGGTGTGAGCGGACAGAGAAATCGGGTACGTAGGAATCTAAAGGACCTGGGCGATGTGGTGTGAAGAGGTGAGAAGCTTTTTGGGGGCAGAAGCCTGACAGGGAGATTTGTGGGGAAAGGGGAAAACATCAGTGTTTGAAAAGGTTCAGGGGGAATGTTGGAGCAAAAAGGAGTAACCAGATTATCGGTAGGGGCAAAGGAGGAAAGAAATTGATCATTTAAGCCATTGGGGATATTGAAACCTGGCACTATTTAAAAGGGCTAGACTGGGAGGAAGTTGGAGTGAAAATCAAACTGAAGAAAATAGAACGATTGAAATTTTTTTTAAGTTAGAAAAAATTTGGAAGAGAGTTGGAGTAGTAAAAGTATTTGAATGGAGAGTGGGATATGAAAAAATCAGAAGCTTGGAGGCATGCAAAGAGCTCTAAAAGGGCTGCAGCCAAGAAAGGGTACTGGGTAGAGGGGAATTCAGAAAGCTGAAAAGCAGAAGTGATATGGGAAGGCAGGGGAGCTGGAAGCAGAGGAAGAGAAAACATGGCTCCGTGCAGTGGTAGTCACAGCCAAGAGTGGCTCATTTGGGATAGCTTTCTCTGCTCTGACCCAAGTGAGCACCTTTCTTCTGAGCACCAGAAGAAAGTGGGGTGGTCACTTCGAAGTGAGCTGAAGAGGTTAAAAAGACTCAGTGAGACATAGATTTGATGCATTCCCATCATGCACTAACACACCACATGGAATGAAACCTCATGTCCTGTACCCACCTTATGTGCATTTATAGCACCCTGGTGAGTCCTACTCTACTTTAGTCTCTGTATTTTATTTAAAAATCAATTCACAATCCCTACTGGGTCAGCCTGCAGTCCAAGAAGCACTGTTGCATTCCAACCCCATTTTCCAGACAAGACCACAGACTCACTGGTCCATAGGGCCACCCCACACCTCAGAGGTGTGATGGTGACCTCACACCTTTTCCCAGCACAGGACAGAGACCTGAAATACTTTCAGCTGTGCAAAAAATCTGGTTGAGAAAAAAACCACACATGCTTATTCCTGCAAGACTTATTCTCATTCACAGCCAGGTAAGCCTCCCTATTATATTTTTTTCTTTTGCATATCACCCCCTCTTGCAGCACATGTCTGTTTGTTTGATCTTTTGCATGGTACCCATTAAAGTCACCCTGCTCTCAACCTTCTCTGAAGCCTGTACCTCTCAGGGTTATACCACTCTGGGGCAATTAGTGAGAAACTGTCTGCATTATCTTCCTCTTCTGAGAGCCTGGCCCTGGATTTTTCTTTTCTATCACATAGTCAGCCTACAAATTTTTCAAATTTTTTTTTGCTCTACTTCCTTTATAATACTGAATGCCTTTAACTACACTGAAGTCACCTCTTGAATGATTTGCTGCTTAGAAATTTCTTCTGCTAAATCGTCTTCCTCAAGTTCAAAGTTCCACAAATCTCTAGGGCAGGGGTAAAGTGCCACTAGTCTTTTTGCTAAAACATAACAAGAATCACCTTTACTCCAGTTCCAGACAAGTTCCTCATCTCCATATGAGACCACCTCAGCCTGGACCTTATTGTCCATATTGCCAACAGCATTATGCGCAAAGCCATTCAACAAGTCTCTAGGAAGTTCCAAACTTTCCCACACTTTCTTGTCTTTTTCTGAGCCCTCCAAATTGTTCCAACCTCTTTTTGTTTTCAGTTCCAAAGTCACCTTGACATCTTTGGGTATTTTTTCAGCCACATCCCTCTCCTGGTACCAATTTACTATTCGAGTCCATTTTCTTTTCTTTTTTTAAATAAAGATGAGGTTTCACCATTATGGCCACGCTGGTCTTCAACTCCTGACCTCAGGTGGTCCACCCACCTTGGCCACCCTAAGTGCTAGGATTATAGGCCCAAGCCACTGCACGCAGCCTTCTTCTAGTCCATTCTCATGCTGCTGGTAAAGACATACCAAGGACTGTGGGATTAAAAAGGAGGTTTAATTAAACTTACAATTCCACATGGTTTGGGAGGTCTCAGAATCACAGCCGGAGGCCAAGACACTTCTTAAATGACAACAAGAGAAAAATCAGAAAGAAGCAAAAGCAGAAACCCCCGATAAAACCATCAGATATTGTGAAACTAATTCACTATCATGAGAATAGCATGGGTAAGACTGACCCCTATGATTAGATTACCTTCCTCTGTCCTTCCCACAACACATGAGAATTCTGGGTTGATATTTGAGTGGGGACACAGCCAAACCATATGTTCCTTTTACCTGTGCCCTCACATGGTAAAAGGGGCAAGGCAACTGTTTTGAATTTGTTTTACAAGGGCTTTAAGCTCATTTGTGAGAGCTCTGCCCTATAACCGTATTAAGTGTCAAAGGCTACACCTCCTAATATATTCACATTATTGATTATGTGAATAAATTTTGGGAGAACAAAAATTTTCAGCTATTTTGTAGTTTTTGTGTATAAGCCCTTTATTTATTTGTTTCTTTCCAAGAATTTTATTATATTTGATGCTACTATAAAATAAAGTTTTGTTGCATTAATTCTTAAAAATTTTGGTGTTAGTTTATAAAAATAAAGCTAACATTTGTATACTTGTTTTATATCTTGCAATTTTGTTAAACTTGTTTATTAGCCCAGTTAGATTTTTAGGTAGATTATTTATGGTAGTTTCCATACCATGATCATGTTCTCTTCAGATAGAAAAAGTTTTACCTCCTCCTTTTCAATTTGGATGGCTTTTATTTCTTTTCTGTACCTAGTTTTCCTGGCTAGAACTTCAGCAGTGTTGAATAGTGGTGGCAAAAGTCAGCATATTGGTCTTCTCCCTGACCTTAGGGGAAAATATTTCAGTTTTTCCTTTTTTAATATGATACAAGCTCTGGTTTGTTCATTCATGCTTTTTTTTTAATCATGTTTAGGGAATTTTTTCTCTTCCTAATTTGTTGTGAGTTTTTATAATGAAAATATTGTGTTAGATTTTATCAGTTCTTTTCTGCATTTGTGATTATTTTATTTTTCTTTATTCTACTGTCAGGTTTTATTAACAGAATTTCATATGTGAAACAAGGCTTGCATTCCTGGAAGAAATTTTACTTGGGATGATGTATAATTCTATTGATAAGCTATTGGACTTAGTGTACTTGAATTTTGTTGGAAAGTTCTCTGTTTATTTGTAATGGATATTGGTCTTGTTTTCTGTTTAATTTTGTTTCATGAAGTCTTTGTTTATCCTTGAAATCAGGGTAATTTCAGCTTTATAAAATTATAAAGTTAGTAAGTGTTCTGTTTTTTGATATGTTTTGGTGGAGCTTAAGAAGTGTCACTCTTCATTCTTTTTAAAAGATTTCATAAAATTCAACAATGAGTTTAATAGTTAGAGCAGACCATTTGTGGATGCAAGTCAGCCTTTTTCTGGGACTCTAGTTTTCCAAGTTGCTGATTTTTTTGACTATTAAGTCTCTTTGCTTGCAATTCTATTCAGATTTTTTGTTTCTTTTTGAGTCAGTTTTAGAAGTTAGTCTTTCTACAAATTGGTACATTTCATATAGGTTATATAATTTGTTGTATAATTGTTTATAGTAACCTTTTAAAAGTAGTTTAATTACTTTAAGTCATCATTAATGTCTTTCTTTTATTTTATATTTTAGTCATTTGACATTTTCTTTTTTATTCTTGATAATTCTAGGTAACAGTCAATTCTGTTGAAATGCTTAAAGAACTACCTTTTGGTTTTGTTGATTCTGCTTATTATTAAATATTTTGTTTATATTTAGTCATTATTATTTCTTTTCTTAGGCTTGCATTGTTTTGTTTGTGGTTTTTTTTAGTAATTAAAGTGAAAACTTATTTTATTGATTTAAGATTTTTCTTTTTATTATGTAGACATTGAGAGTTATAAACCTTCTTAGCACTGTTGATCAGAAATTCCCATTAGTTTTGTGTTGCATTTTTTGTTTTTGACATCTTAGAGTATTTTTTAAATATGCTTTTGATTTTTGTTTTTGGGAATTTTTTTGAGACAGAGTTTTACTCTTGTTGCCAAGGCTGGAGTACAATGGTGCGATCTTGGCTCATCACATCCTGTCCCTTCCAGGTTCAAGCAATTCTTCTGCCTCAGCCTCCAGAGTATCTGGGATTACAGGCATGCATCACCATGTCCAGCTAATTTTGTATTTTTAGTAGAGACAGAATTTCTCCATATAGGTCAGGTTGGTCTCGAACTCCCAACTTCAAGTAATCCACCGGCCTCAGCCTCCCAAAGTGTTAGGATTACAGATGTGAGCCATCACACCCAACCCTCTTTTGATTTCTTACATGACCCATTGATTATTTTGGAGTGTGCTGTTGAACATACACATAACTGTAAATTTTCTAATCTTTGTGTTAGTGATTTCTAGATTTTAATTTTAGTGGTCTAAAAACATATTCTGTATGATTTAAATTGTTTTACATTTACTATTAATTGTTTTATAGCCTAACATATAGTCTATCCTGAAGAATGTTTCATGTTCCCTTTTGAAAAATGTGTGTTCTGCTCTTTTGTGGGGGTTGAATATTTGACATACATCTGTTAGATCTATTTGATGGTTTATTGTTGTTCAAGCTTTCTCTTATTATTTGGATCTTCTGTCTAGTTGTTAAAACTTTATTCCAAGTGGGGTATTGAGACCACCAGGTGTAATTGCTGTGTGGATATTTCTTTTTTTAATTCTGTCACTCTGCTTCATTTACTTTGGGGCTCTATTATTAGTTGCAATTATTGTATCTTCTTGATGGTTTTACCCTGTTTCATTATACATCGTCGTTGTTTGAATACAAAACCACTTTTGTCTTAAGGTTCATTTTATCTGATATTAGCGTAGCCAATGAATCTTTATTTTGTTACACTTTGCAAAAATTTTTTTTCTTATTCCTTTTGACGTATTTGCGTTTTGAATCTAAAGTGAGATAACTTTAAACAAAATATAGTTGAA